ACAACTATAACGATAACGATACAGAGGAACGATATCGTTGTGATCACTTTCAAAACGATTTTTCTCCAGCTGATGAACGATAAAAAATTGACAGCCAATCAGAATCCATCCTGCTGTAACGAGCTCGAGAATTTAAAGCGACAGACGAGTGTGCGCTTAGAATAAACAGACGATATCGTTCTCTGGTGTGGACGCTAATATCGTTATCTTTATAGTTATCCTTCTTGGTGTGAACGGGGCTTTATTTAGGTAGAACTTCACACTACAGTCTTGCAGCAGCCATTCATCTTGTGATCATCTGTAGAAAGCATTGTCTGTAAGTTTTTACGATTAATTTGTATTTAATTTGCTGAATTGAATTTTTATGAAAGAACTATATACGATAAATAACAGTAAATTGAGACATTATTGTATTCTTAGAGATAACTAAAGCTACACTATAATTCTCCTTTCTGTAGTTTCACTCTGTTTCAACATACACAGTCAACGTGGTTTGGAATAAAGCGGCATTCTCCCACAAGTCTACGTGTTGGAAAGAGCTTATCTATCTGTCTAACTTCGGGAAGAGAGACACCAAAGTGAGGGCAGAATAATAATAATAAGGATTAAATTGAAAATGTATCATTTACTCATGCAGTAAATTAAGATGTTTAGGAGAATGCGTGGAATATAGTGTACAAGACATAGAAGGAAGCCTTTTATAATACTTTAATGTTGCTGGTTTATTTGTGCTTTTTAAAATCATCTCCAGGTAATAAATAAAGTATACGAACAATTCAGTGCTACTTGACATAGCATTTATTACAGTACAGAAACTATTCTGCCTTATGTGATAAAAATTAAAAGAAAAAAAAAGTGTTTGTAGTACATTAACAAATCATTTATTGGTTATTGTCCAACAGTGACGCAAGGCAATGTATATATATATGTATATATATATATATATGTGTGTGTGTGTGTGTGTGTGTGTGTGTGTATATATATATAACATTTCTGTCCCCCTCACTTCTGAAATGATGGCTACGCCCCTGTATATAGTATACACAGTGTAGTTTTACTGAACAAACAGCAGAAACGGCGAGAAAGACCGTGGCAGCTTGCCAGAAACGACTAGTGGCAGCTGCCAGTGGCAGCTGGGGATGCCACCGGAAGTAGCGCTGCGACCTGCCGCTGCCAGGATTTGCGCTTGCTCTCTCTCCAATTATAGCTCAAATATATTTAGTATAAGTATAAGTCAAGTATACTTAAATGTCATTTTAAGTATATTTCTGAGAAGTACATAAAAAGTAGACTAAAAGTATACTTTCCTATTTTTAGTTTAAAAGAAGTATACTAATAGCACACTTGAATAAACTTCTTTTTCGTAAGGATGCAATAGAGCTTTAAACACATTTGACAAGATTACCTATCAATGTCTAAACTATCTGATGCATGAAATCATCACACTGATAAAGAGGTTGACTGGCACAAAGTGTTTTATGAAAATACAAAAATGCTGATCTTAAATGTCTATTTAAATCCAAAATACATTAGATTTTTTCCAAAGGTTTTCAAATACAAAATAAATGGCCTATTTTGTATTTCAAATACATATTTTAAATACATGTATCTGAAATACTGCCCATCCCATGGCCATCCATCTTATTAGTTTTCACTTTTACTTCGCTATAGTTTTTGTTTTGAGACTAATTAAATGATACCTTTTTATCAATACATTGTTATCTTTACTTTTTATATTTTAACAACTTATATTGTCTACTTATTGTATTTACATAAGGAAAAAGTGATTTTATATCTGAAATACATGCATTGTTATATGTTCCTTTTTGGGCTTACTGTTTTAAACTTCTCAAAAAAGCTTTTAATTGCCTAATAAACTATATTTTACTACACATGACTGAGATTGAATGAGACGGCTATTTGTCCACATTAGTATACCTGATTTTTGTGTGATGTGTTGCTTTGTCATTTTAAATAGAATTTGGCGATCTGCTGCTGATGACGTCATCACCAGCGCGCTCACTAGTCAGTCAGCATCGAGTCTTCTTCTGAGGCGAGGTGAGCATTTCGCGTATTTAAACAGGGCCTAATGGTAAAATGCACAAAAACACATTTTTGTTTATGCAGCAATATGCGAGGTCGTTTCTGCATTGTTTTCATCGAGTACAGCGCTGTTTGTGTTTGCTGACTTAACAACTTAGAACAAAAAGCATGTTGTGAGGAAAGCATGTTGAATTCACAAAGACCTGAGCGATTTGTGTTTGTGTATGTTCGTGAGAATGATTGTTTCGAAGTTTGGAGTGATAATGTTGATGTTACTGGATGTTTCGTGATATGTGAGTGAAATGGATGCTAACCAATTGTATTGCTGCTGTGATTTTGTTATTTTTCTGACCTTTATCATTGTTATTGTTACTTTACATGGTTAAAATTAATAACAGATACTACTAATATTGAGCCTATATAATGAGCTACGTGGAACATTTTAAATCTATACATAAATATGAACAGATTAATAGACACTGGATATTTTGCTTTGTGGTACTCTTTCTGTTTAAAGAAGCTTTTTTAATCACTGTCAGATTTTGCGCGTAAAACTATAACATGTTAATCGTTTCATTAAATAATTTCACTGAATATAGTTATTAGAGAACCAAATCATATTTAGATGTTATGTGCTGATTGTGCTCACTTATTTACCTGTAGTTGTTAATGAAGATGGATGTCATCGAATATCTGTTTATGCTTTACTTTTTTTTATTCTTACTGTTACTTAGAATTAACATTATATTTTCGATATTTGTAGACAGATATCTTCTTATATGTTAATAGGGGGGCAGAATGAAAAAAATATGGGTAGAAATTAGTGCTGGGCGGTATGACCAAACATTTATATCACGGTATATTTCAAAATTATACCGGTTTCACGGTACATGACGGTGTATTTTTTTTTCATGCATGACCGGGTGTTAACCATATTTTCTACTGATTGAGAGAGGAAATACTGCAGTATATTGACTTCGAATGCCCTATTTTACTGTCATGATGAGTGAATATTGTCAAAAAATACCACACTAAATAGTGACTAAACACGACCCCTTTTAATACATGTTAACCAGGAGTCACTCTCATTTATAATCGCGGCATCGTCTGATAAAATCAACATGCATCTACACTAAAGAGCGGCTATGCGGTTGTTTTGGCTATATTACTTTTTTGTCTCATGCAGCGCACTGCCTGCGTCTGAGTAACAAACTAAAAAAAAAGTGCATGTAATATTAACAGATGAACTACGCTCATATTTATAATTCCAAACAATCAGTAAGCGACAGGTGCTAGGAAACGCTGTTTTGTACTCATTTATTGACGAG